TACTGGTGATTTATGTTGATCAACATAAATCTTTGAGGAAATAAAAAAGAAAGGAGCGGGGGGAAGGGAAGGGAAGGGAAGGGAAGGGAAGGGAAGGGAAGGGAAGGGAAGGGAAGGGAAGGGAAGGGAAGGGAAGGGAAGGGAAGGGAAGGGAAGGGAAGGGAAGGGAAGGGAAGGGAAGGGAAGGGAAGGGAAGGGAAGGGAAGGGAAGGGAAGGGAAGGGAAGGGAAGGGAAGGGAAGGGAAGGGAAGGGAAGGGAAGGGAAGGGAAGGGAAGGGAAGGGAAGGGAAGGGAAGGGAAGGGAAGGGAAGGGAAGGGAAGGGAAGGGAAGGGAAGGGAAGGGAAGGGAAGGGAAGGGAAGGGAAGGGAAGGGAAGGGAAGGGAAGGGAAGGGAAGGGAAGGGAAGGGAAGGGAAGGGAAGGGAAGGGAAGGGAAGGGAAAAGAATCCAGGACACAATATCTATAAAAAGGATGTTTTGCAGGGTTTGCTACGAGGTTTCATGTGGCCTTCCTTAATCCTGACTCAGAGAATGCATAAATATTCCTGGCTCTAGGAGGACAGAATTATGTTGCATAATGTTATTCTCTCTGAATTTGCTCTCTGAAATGCATGTATGGGCTTCATTGATGTTCTACCCTTGCTACAGTGTTTAGTACACATACAGAAAAGTATTTGCTTTTGTCAATTTTACCTGTCTTCTCTTGGGGTCCTGAATCACATCTTAGGCAAGCTTATAGGCACTCAAGCAGGAATAATCAGTGACTTTAATTGGCCATTAGGCTTAAGTATTTAGGAAGAACAATCAATTAATAATCAAGATCTAGAGGATATTCTCTCAATTTATTTCCAGAGCCTGTCTTGAAATTCCCCATGCATTTAGGACTTACAGAGTAGCCTAATGGTTAGAAAAGCATAATTGGTATCATAAAGCCTGATATTTCTTCTCAGCTTAGTACTGGCACGTCCATGTAAACATTTTATATTTTACTTGGCTGAGCACCGGAGATGAATCCTATTCTGGTCTTGCTGCTCCCCAGTTATGGAAGCAGGTTAACATATCACAAGGCTGCTGGGAGCCTTTGGCAGCCCCTGTGCACATCACCATTTGCAAATCTAAGTGTTTATACTGTGCAACGTTTCATAAAGAAAACTAGACTTCAGCACATAATCCCAAATAAGTGGGTTGACCTGAAAGAGGCTGGAAGCCTTTAAAGGGGAGCAGCAAGCTACTTGGTGACCATCCACAATGATAACGATGTACATCATTATGGACATCATTATGACACTGATCAAAGGACAAATGGAAGAGGCAACTATGGTTGAATATCCACTCTGAGGACGGGGAGATAAGGAACTGCACTGCCCGTGGAGCCTTGCAGGGACCGTATGTGCTCCAGCATGGCAGGACTCTCAAAACGCCAAGGCAAATCAGACAGGTTGTGCAGTCAGTGCATCCAGCGGAGCCAATGCAAGCCCTCTACTTTGGAAGAGGAAAGGATGCTGGAGCTTGGGTAGCCCCAGGACCAAGAGGTTGCAGCTGCCTTGCTGTCATTTGCTCTGGGTTAAAGCCGACAGCTGCAAAAACATTCCACGAACTTGCTGTTCTTTGCAGGGTTTGTCACTCAAAGTCAGCGTTTGGCTGGACTTGGAGGAAATCACAGACTCTGTTTCCAGCACAGGGAGCAAAATGAAAAGCCACAGCTAGAACAGCTGCTTCCTTCAGCCTCCCTGACCCCTCGGGTGGAGACCAAAGCAAGTTGCTTCCCCTGTTATACTCACTGGCTCAGAGGGCAGCCCTCACACATGCTATTAATTCTTAGTAGGGAGGATGATCTCCTGGGCGACCCCAGGTAAAGTTGGTGGAAATCCAAAAACATGAAAAGAGTGAGGTTTCAGCAACTGTTTTTGTCCTGCACAAGAATGAAATGAGACGTGTAAATCTTCCCTGGAAAATGAGTTTATCCTTTGTAGAGAAGAGAACCTGTCCCAGGTGAGTTCCTTCATGGCTGGGCAGATACCCAAGATACCGGAGCTTTTCCAAATCAGACTATAGAATTATTCTTTCAGTTTCTTGCAAGGAAGATGACCCAATGGTTCAAAGCAGGGAGTGCCCACCCCACTGTGGTGTCCAATGCTGGGGGCTCTTCTTCTTCTCCTCTCCTCTCCTCTCCTCTCCTCTCCTCTCCTCTCCTGCTTGCAAATGAGAAACTCTCCCAACAGCATGTTAGCTGAAACTTCCCTGGGAGAGCTGGTGGAAGAAGATTGACAAATACTTAACGCGTGACTGGGCAGAGATGGAAAATGGGCACCAAGGTGTTCTGATGGGAGCATGTTTAGAAAGACTATTGGGTATCTTGGGTACTTTCAGATCAAATGCAAGGTTTAACTGCTTCCTTGGGTTAGATGACCACTCACTGAGGGCAGCAGGTTCAGAAGTGAGCTTTGAGGTCACTAAAATTCTTATTCAGCTGCTTAGATCCTTAGTGGGTTATCTAAGAGCATGCAAGCAAGATGGAAAATAATGGGAATGAAACCTCTATTCACGATGTCCCAGGGCTTTGTTTACCACATTGTCATTCCTCACAGATACATTGCATGTGACTCATATTTACAATGTCAGAAGTGAACCAACCCACTTCAGTAAATGGAGGAATGTTTCCAGACCCACTGTGACCTAAAGTTCCTCAGAATTTCAGTCTCCCTAGGAGGGGAGGCAAGGACAGACAAAATGGACAACTGAACAGGCCTCATGCATCAGAGAAATTCCTTTCATCTCAGAAACAGGTGATTTACTTCTACTGAATAGTCTCTCCAGACCTGCACTCTCCTGAAAGCTTGAAAACTTCTCTAATTCCATGACTAAACATATATTTTCAGTAAAATATAACAATATTCTTGGCTGGTTTTTGCCCTTCTACTTCTGTGCCAAAGTTGATCTTCAACTTAAATAGGTTTTAACACCCTGGTTGTGTGTGCCAGAAGACCTGTATCTCCTCTTGGCCTCATCTTCTTAGGCATTATAAGAAAAGGCTATTTTAACATTTTAAATGGTAGCTTCTCTACAGGGACCAGCTTAATAGACCACTTCATTCCCATTTGATTTCCTGTTTCTCCTCTACATTGTCAATTTTTGCCAGCTTTATGTTATCAATGGATTTCACTGTCATACTTTTATACATATCGCTCATGAAACTATTAAGATAGGCATCAAGCTTTTCTTTGAAGAAATGTACTGGTAACTTCCCTCCATCCCTTTTAATATCACTCTCTCATCTCCCCTCTATACTGTTATTTTTCCATATTTTCACTCTTGTGGTAATTCCCAACTTCTCCAGCTCTGCTAAAAATTCCCTGTTGTGATCTTATACCTTTATTTTTTCACTGAGGTCTAGAAATATGTGATCTACCACATCTCCTTTGTCTAGATCAGTTGTTATCAAAGAAAAACATGAGTTTAGTCAGACATGATTTATCCTTGGTAAACACTTGTGCTTTATCCTAGTTTTTCATTACTTCCTTGCCTTTAATTATTGTTTCCTTCAAAAAGTGTTCTGATAGCCTTATATGCTACTGTGGTCTGACCGATAGGTTTATAATTTTCCAGATTGCTTCCTCCCTCCACCTTAAGTCTAGCTACTACATTTTCTATTCTCTAATCATATAGCGCTGCCTTTAACTTAATGGATTAATTAAAGTATTTTCTAACAAACTTGCAATTTCTGGTCTCTTAAAGATTTGAGCATGAAGATCATTTTGTCCCCCAGCACAGTTAAGCACCCTGTGTTTTCCTTACCTTTGGCCACCCTGCATTTTTTCCACATTCAGTTTCTTTAAAAGGTACCTATTCCATGTTTGGGTCATCCCTCAACTCGAAGTTCCAGTGACCCCCATCACATCTCATGCACACATAGATTGTGTCAGGCATCCACCCACCATTTTCTGCAGCAAATCATCGCTGCTATGTCTGAAAACATTTAACTTGCCTCCCCTCCTCAGCTGCCACCCTTGTATTTTCTTCCTCCTCTCTGCCTTCAAAATAACAAGGGAGAAAAAACTCTTTATGTCTCCAACAAACTTCCTTTGCTATCTATTGGCTCGTATGTGCTTACCTCACCCAAAAGAGCTTGTATCAAGAGAGAACAGCATAACTCCTTAGAGCAAGCAGAAGAAACTGATTCTGATTATCCACTCTGAAAGGAAAGAAATATTCTGACTGCTGGCAATGCCTTCCCAGAACATTTCTGAACTGTCTATAGGCAGTTCATTTTTAGCTAAGTTCAAAATCAGTGTTATATTAGATGACTATTTGATTTCAGCTGTATGTGTAGTAACATCCAGAAAGGGTCCTAAAGTGAGATATGCAAATCATACAGATAAACGCAATCTCCCTGTTTTAATTCCAGCTACAGGATCTTTAAGAACACCCTGTCCCTTTCCCTACTTAGAAACCTTATTAGTAAGTGGCCTTCGCTCCGTTCAGATGGGTTTGTTGCCAGATGTCTCTACAGGCAAGACTGCTTGTTAACCTCATTCTAATAATAAATATGAACACTGCTTTCACAATACCTTTCAGCATGGGAATTCAAAGTGTTTTAAATATGTTGAGCGTTTTAACAGCAATGAAGAACAAATTTTGTAAATTTTCTTTTCACCTTGTAGCAGAAGATGAATATTAATGCTGGGAAGAGTATAAATACAGTGGGATGGCTTTGCCTTTCCAACAGATGGCAACCTACATAATATCTTAGGACAAACCCCATCTTTAATAGCCTTTTCCAAGCTTGTGGCGATACTCCTGAGATCTCCTGCAGCCAACAGTATGTCTCCCAGAGAGCAGTTTGTATAAATGTGCTCTGTGCAACCACTGAATAGCATGTCTCCACCAAAACAAGGGAAAACGTTCCCTTGGACTCTATTATAGTAGTTTCATTGCTTTCCTCCTAGGTTTTACTTAACATACAGTGAAGTAGATTGGTGTTTGCTCCTCAGGTATGTCCAAGAGCTTCAGGGAAGATCAAGAATAGGAGATCATCCTGCATAACAGTCGTCTTGCTCACTGCAAGGCTTCTCTCCAGATAACCATCCTATCAGCAATGCTGCCCTGCTCCATAGTGATCTGGCTCTGAGTTCAGCTGCCCTCAACATCCTTAAGTAAAGTAGTGAAGGCTTGGATTCTTCAGATTTTCTTTATCCTAAAGAAAATATGATAAGAACACCTTGGGACTGTCATAGCCCTCCTAGGAACTTGGGCGGCCTGGGACGATAGATTATCTAGGTGCTGCCAATCGTGGTACTACTCCTTCTCCAAAGGAGATGATCTGCATCTGGAGCTGAGCCATCCATTGGATTAAGTTAATCTTCGCAAAGCGCCTGTGCCTAGCACATCCTGGGGAAGGAAGGACTTTTTTCCAAGCAAGGTATGATGGCTCAAATCAACCAGCCAACTTCTCTCTGCTGGAGGACGATGTCTGAACAAAGGGCAATCCAACACCCAAGGTATGAGAAGATTTTCATGCTGAATCAACACTTTGGGAACACTGCAAGTTATTTTTTGGGAGCCCTAACCCATGCTAGGAGCTGCAGGACTCCCAAATCTCCTTAGCCACAAGCAGGTGGGAGAATGGAAGGTCTGGGAGCCTGGTAGCTCTGAGAGCCCCAGTCAGCATGGCAGAGCTTCTTGGGACCTGCAGACCCTCAGTGCACGCCCGGCTTCTGTTATACTAGCCAGTTATACTAGCAACCAGGCACAGATCCAGGGGAATTTAGCCTGTATTTCAGTGGGAATTTATTAATTTAGATGAAACAGAGTTTGTTTGTTTTCAGTTAATCATTGCTTTCCGATGAAGAAAACATTTTGTCAGAGAATTCCCAGCAAATTCTACCCGTGATTCACTTTCTGGATTTCAGCAGTGAAACTCCAAATCAGCTGGGATGCCCTCTCCCACCTCTGCACACAAAAGCTCTTTAACAGCCTCTGCCTCTGGGAAGGGCCCCTCAGGGCACACTGACCTTGCTGCAGTTCAGTGGCACTGGAGAACATAGCACCCATGGAGAGGGGCCATGCTTTGAAATTTGGTTGTGGTTTAGCTTCTCTAGCTCACTCCCTCCCTTTTTCTTCTTCAACATTTATTACAAAGCCCTAAAACAGTATTTTCTCTCTCTCCAGCTTCATTTTCCATCCCACAAGTACACTGGCATGGCTGGTCTACCCTTTTCTGAGATAACAAATTGGTTGGAGGCCTCAAAAGTCCAAAAGCATTGGCAGCTGCCACCGTTTTGTCACAAGATTCTGAAATCTACTGGTTTTCATACAGCTCAGCAACCAGACCCATGTGTTAAATGCGCTTTTCCTTTTTTTTTTCCCCTCATGGCAGTAGAAAAAGATGCAATAATTTAGTGGCAAAAAATGAGAGAAGAGAAAGCAGAAAGAACCCCAGGTCTTGAGCCTGCTAGTCTAAAGAAGTAAGTCTTGCAAAGATCTCAAAGATAGGAATTTCTTACACAATTTGTGCAAATAAGCAGATAGTAAGGAATAGAGATGCTGTTAGTTATCTCTGAGAGGAAGCTGTGGCAGGATTCAAACTTTATTAGACATGAGAGAACACACACCGACACTTAACCACAGGTGCAAATCCACCAGGCTCCATTAGTTCTTGTGCTTATGGAAACACTTGTTTTCTATTTCATTATTTTGAAGTCAGTCTTCCCATGTTAAGGAAAGCAGATTCTCAATTTTTGAAAGAGTCAGCAGCAGAGATGGTGAGAGCTCACTTGCTTTTTACAATGGCAGATTGCTGAATTCTTTAATAAGCAAAGATTTTTCCTCAGCTTTTTATAAGTTGCTTAACACTATCATGTGGAAATCTCTACAGCCTGTAGCACTTGCCAGTGCAGACCCCTTGCTTTACACTAGGCAAAAATTCAGTGCTGTGTGTTTTGCCCTTTGAGTGTGGGAAAACACCACAGGGGGAAAAAAAAGTGCTAGTGCTTTCCACTCCTTGCATTAATCCTCTCAGCCTGCAGAGTTATCATTATCATTCAAATAAAATGATATCAAACCCAGCCATCTGCTTTAAAAGCCCAGGATTCATAAATCCAGTGGGTCCCTTAGGTTTAAAAGAGGGGAAAATGCTTCGAAGCAAAGAGGTTCTTATGCAATGCCAGCCCCCTCCCTGGAGGGGGAGATGCACCGAGGCCGGGAAGCCCCGTGTCAATATTATTCCTCTTACATAACATCCTGCTTTATTTGCTGATTGAATTTTTGTATTTTTTTTTAAACTGAATTTGTCCATCAGATGCCAAAAGAGCTTAGTGGTAAACTGCAACCCTCCCCAGAAGAAAAGCAAACCTCGCCCACAAGCAAAACCAAAACACCATCACAGATTGAGATTTGCTATCTAAAAATAAACAATCATTAACAACAAATAATCCAGCAAAGAAGGTACAGCAAGCAACGGGCACCTCGTGAACACAGAAAATGAGAGCCAGCTTGGCAGGACAGAAGGACAGAGCTCCCCCTCTCTCCCACAGACCTGAATCACCTGCTACATGTTTTCTTTACCCTCCTGCAGGGAAAATGTTTTATTGATAAGGCCTCTCCTAGGCTTGTGATTGCCCCCCCAGGGCTGAGTGAGATTTGAAGCTGGTCAGCTTGACATCATGTCTAGACAGTCTTTTTCTTTGGCAAACACTCAGTGCACCTGAGAACAAACCAGTGAGTCCAATAATGTGCAAAACGGGGCAGGAGGAGCCTTTTAGGGGCAGGTTGAACGCAATGAGGAGACTGCACAGAGATGCTCACATACCACAAGAAGTCCTCTTCCATGGGTGCACGCACGGCTCTGCCCGCTGCTGTTGAGGGAACCATCATTGCCCAGTTTGACATAATTAAAGCACTGCCTGTGTTTCCTGCGCACAGAAATGCGAGCACAGCCACGCACACAGCAAGAAAGCCACCCTGGACATGTGCACACACACACGGTGCCAGCGGGGCAGCTACCCCCATGTCTCCCTGTGCCCCCACAGCGGTGACTTGGCAGGGGGGCACTTACACTGTGGTAGTGCCTGAAGTGCGGTGACACCACATGGCACCTCCAGCTCTCTGCCATGGGCCTGTTACCCGTAGCTGAACTAGGGAAATCCTACAGTTTACAGCCTGGTGCTTAAGGCAAACAAACTCAGAACCAGTTTTCCTTAAAACACAGCAGTTTTGGACTAGCTGCCCAAAGCTGGAAGGGGGAGGCACCATATCTGCCTTCCAGTGAAGACCACAGTCCCTTTTATAGCAGATCCCTGGGGTCTATGATCCACATCGGTAGGTACCATCTCGCTGTGAATGCCTGCGTTCAAACAGCCACATATTGGCACATGAAAAGGGATGTACACCCCTCGCCCTGCCATCTTCCAGGGTAGCTGCACCCACAAGACCAGCACGAGGGGTCTCTCCCCAGTCTCTATTCACTGGCATTCATGTGCAAAGAGGAAAGGGTGGAGATCTTGAGATTCCCCCAGGACAGCCAGGCACTACGATTGCCCTTGTCATCTTTTCGGCTCACATGATAAAGCTGCTGTCTGCGGAGCAGGCCCATGCCAACTGAATTGTTGTCTAGGCCAACCAACACCCACAGGGCCCAATCCCTTTTGTCCTCTCCCTCTTTGAACTGGGTAGAAATCATCTCAGTGAAAACCTCTGGTATTTTTAGGCCAGAGCGGAGCTGCCTGAATGGCTCACGGCCGTCTCCCTGCTCGCCCCTTGGGAACGGGGCGTGCAGAAGGCAGGGAGCACAAGGCACGGTCACAACACGCCGTTTTGCAGCCGTCCTCAGCTGCCTGGGTCCCAGAGAGAGCCCGTGGGCAGTTTATTGCCGAAATAATACAGGCCTGAAGAAACTCCACCTCTAGGAGGAGTTCAAAGGTTCCCCGGAGCCACCTTTGCTAAGGAGTGGGACTGAAGACCTGAGAACAGCTTCCCTCTGGTCCTGGTTAGCAGCTGGCTGACTCAGCCCAACATCCATCACGCAGCGAAACGCGATAATTGTCTTGATCTGTGCTCCCCAAACCTGCCAACTGTGGCCGATGCCCACTGTTAGCAAATCCGACCCTCATTATCTGCTCTCCACCCTCGTCTATCCAAGGCGCCGAGCACTGCAGTGCGCAATTAAGCACCCGCCATCAAGTTGCTTCTGGGCCGATTTGTCATCGCCAGTATTTGTTTGGGAATGTTTGTTGGGAAGCACATGGTGGCAGGGTCAGTGGATGTTGTTGAGGTTTTTCCTCTTGTGCCTGGGGGCCGGAGAGCTTTGTGCATTTCTCAGTATGTTAAACTCAATTAAAAAAAAATAAAAAAAACAACATCAGGATAACTTAAAGCAGATGTGAACACAACAAGCCTGAGACCCTTCTGAGCACAAACACGGCCATTTCATTGCAATTCCAAAAGGCTTTTCTGGCAAGCCTCCCCTCCATGTCCTACATTCTTTCATTCCAAGGAAGACAAACAATTCAGACTGGAGCAGCAAGGCACGTTTTTCAAATAAACAGGTTCCCTGAAACAATTTTTGTGTCACCCCAATACACGCATTCCTCTCTTAAAGGATCTCCTGGGATGATCGAAATGAGAATTTGTGTCACACCTTTCATTTAAGGAGTTCAAAGCACCTCGTTCAGCCCATGTGAGCCTCTCACATGGAAGTGTTTTCACCTCCGTATCCCAACACAGTATCTTCATGACCTGAATTACAGAGAGAATCCATAGCATTTGTGGATGCTAAAACCAGAAATCCTGTGGAGCCTTCCACTGTTGGAAGAGGAATATGACTTGAGTGTGAAGGAGACTAACTGCTGGTGACTGGGGACCAATCCTCTGCAAAGCAGGTTGCTTGATTGTTTCTGCTCATCACCACCAGATTTTTAAGAACAGGTAAACCCTGTTTTACCCTAAAGGTCTTTCAATGGCTCAAACAGGTCCATTTCTGGACAGTCGTTACAGCATTACCCGATTCACTTGTTACCTTGGTTTCAACTCTGTCATTTTGCCCCGTGTCCCTCAGTCCGGCAGCTGCCTTGACTGAAGTCACTCATTCCTTCCTTCTAGCATCTAAGTTTCGTGTTTACTTTGCCAGCTACTTTTGACTCTGGCTTTGTCTTCTCTGACTAATTCCTGGACTCTGCTCTGGCCCTGCTCATGGGCTTTCTATAGCTCCACATTGCTCCACCTGTCTCTTGATGGGGAAAAACAATGCCAAGTCTGGGAGGATTTTATTATTTCCAAGTTTTGTTTCATTATATGTTTTCCATATTTCCCTCCGTGAGAAAGAACAGAGGTCGTCTCTGGAGAACATCAGGAGATGGGTGGAGACAATTCCAAAATCTACACCTGGGATTTAAGATTGTTTCTCCAGGACCTTCCAGATACAAGGAAACAAATCTGAGGCAGACTCAGCTTATAGCTCTAGCTTTCTACCCAAGGAAAGCAGACAGCCAGTACCAGCAATTTCCATTTCAAATCAAGATTGCTCTGAAATTCACTGAGCTGCATGGTATGGGCAACTTGAAAGATTTGTTATGCCTTCCAGTTGAATGAAATTTAGATTAATAAAACAGATTGTAAATACTAAATAGTAGATGTACTAAATATAATGGGGGATAGTAAATAATAAATAGTAGATAATAAAACAGATTGTTTCACAGAAAATAAATAAAGAGGGATTAAAACAAAGAAGGAATGCCTTCTGCAATGTCAGCACAGAGGAATGGCTTGAAGACAAACAAGAGGCCACTCCACAGGTGAACACGGTCTATCCATGTCACTTTCTCCCCTGCTACAACAGCTTCATCACAGGTTTCAAAGCTGGACTGAGCAGGGTGCTGTTTACTTAGTGGGACACAGGTACAGATGTGATGGTTGGTGGAACTGGTGCCCAGTGACTGCAGTGGAAGGGGGGAAGCAAGGGAAATGAGATGCCCTTTGCTGCCCACTTCTTACAGGAGGTGGGTTGTTGCATCCTCTGAGAACAGAAATATCTGCTTCACCCTTCTAATAGGATTTTCATATTCCTCATGAGCTTAACATCGGAAAATATGTATAAAAAATAAATTGATCATTCCAAATCATGATGATGAAAAATCTTTAAATCTCCCAAATCCCTCTAAATCCCTTTACAGGATTCTGTATTTCTCACAGTAGAGTTCCTTCGGTTAATTCTGCCACTGAGTTAAGGTACCCAGAGGAGAAATAAAAAGCTGTGCTTGAAAAACATTTTCCTTTACTGCTGGACTTCACAGGACCTGAAAAACCAAGGGACAAGAACCCCACATCAAGGACAGCTGCATAAACTTCCTGAGCACAAGAAATTAATCATAATAAAAGGCTTTTAATTTTTTTTTAATACAGTTAGGTACCAAAGATAAAACGGTTATTTCCCAGAATTGTTCCTGTTTGGCACGGCTCCTGATTGCTTAGATGAAGAACTTTTATTATTGAGCTTTTCGTAACCTCTACCCTCAAAATCTGGTGAATGTCTTGCATGGAAAATACAGAATGCACTAAAATTGCAAGCATTCCTGGCTTTTGCATTCCCTCACAGCAATATTCCTTTTTCCTCTTCAGCAATGCACCCTCGGGCCATGCAGGCAGCAGTGTCTGAAGGCTGCTTCCAAGCTGACTTTTGGCTAGCAGGAATGATTCTGAAAGTTGGATGAGACTGAATCGAGCAAGGTAAATCACTATATAAGCCTACCCATATTTGCCTCTACTTGCATAAGATGGTAAATTGTGTGCTTAAGGGTTTCAGGCTGTTCCCATATTGATTGATGTCTCAGATATCCCTGCCTACAGTGCTCAAAAGCTGTTTGCTGCCAATATTGGTTATATGTTGCTAGACGGCTCTACAACACAAGCCCATGGCTCTGCTCTGCTGCATGAAGGGATAAGAAATGAGAGCTCGGTCCTTATTGTCTGGAGCCAGCTCCATAAAATGACCTGGGAATGGCGGCTTAAACCTGAGCAGATTCATGTCCACCCACAGACCAGGCTCCAGTTGAAGTTGGTGCACAGGAAGAGGGAAGAGGCAGAGGAGAGATAGAATCATCGAATCATAGAATTGTCTAGGTTGGAAGGGATCTTTAAGATCTTTGAGTCCAACCATTAACATAACGCTGCCAAACCATGTCCCTAAGCACCATGTCTACCCGTCCTTTAAACAGATCCTGGGATGGTGATTCCACCACTTCCCTGGGCAGCCTGTTCCAATGTTTGGTAACCCTTTTGGTGAAGAAATTTTTCCTAATATCCAATCTAAACCTCCCCTGGTGCAACTTGAGGCCATTTCCTCTTGTCCTATAGCCTGTTACTTGAGAGAAGAGACTGACCCCTACCTCGCTACACCCTCCTTTGAGGTAGTTGTAGAGAGTGATAAGGTCTCCCCTCAGCCTCCTTTTCTCCAGACTAAACAACCCCAGCTCCCTCAGCCTCTCCTCATAAGACTTGTTCTCCAGACTCCTCACCAACCTCATTGCCCTTCTCTGGACTCGCTCCAGCACCTCGAAGTCTTTCTTGTAGTGAGGGGCCCCAAACTGGACACAGCACTCAAGGTGGGGCCTCACCAGTGCCGAGTACAGGGGGACGATCACTACCCCAGTCCTGCTGGCCACACTATTCCTGTTACAGGCCAGGATGCTGTTGGCCTTTTTGGCCACCTGGGCACACTGCTGGCTCATATTCACCTGGCTGTTGACCAACACCCTTCTGGGAAGCAGGAGATGCCCTTCTTCTGGGGCTGGGGCATGGGGGCAGGGGACGGGCAGCACAGCTGGCACCTCATCAGATGACATGGGAAGGCACATCACAGCAGCTGGTCCTGAGGCAGGAGGGACGGGGGAAGCTGCCTCCATCCCCATCTGCCAGAGCTGTGTCCAGTCCCATGCCGTAATTGCATTAGTATTATTTCCTCATGTACAAACACTGATTGTAATTGCTTGCTTGTCCCATAGGCCATACGGGCAGAAAATAAATTTTAGGGACACACTTGATCTGTAATGGCCTTTAACATAAAAAACAAACATAAAGCTATTAAGGACAAGAGGGAAAACTGATATTGGGGATGGGGAAAGAATTGTGGCTCAGTTCTACAGGGCATTTACTCAGAGGAATAGTCCCTTTGAAATTATCATGCAAATCTGAAGGCTTTTCAGCAATTTCAGCTAAATCCTTCAGGCTTGTGCACACAGAGAGGTTAATTTGGTTTCAAGCAATATGGATTAAAAGCAGAACAGCTATTCATGATTAATTCCCTCTGTAGTTGCTCCTATTTTGGAATAAAAATGCCTAACTCTGAACCAATGCAACCCATGTCCAACCTGGTTTAAGTTTATAAAGAGTCAGTCACTCTTTCCTGTGAGCAGTGTTCATAGAGACAATTGGTTGGGAAAAGTCAAGAATTGCTTCAATCAAACCTTTACTAGGTCAGAGAAAACACCCGAAATGTGGTATATTTACTAGATCAGGCTCAGATATCAATTATACCATTAGCAGGTTCAGGATAATTTTGTTTTCTTCCACAAGCCAACTTCTGATCCGAGCCAGTGTAACCCCAATAAGAACCTGACCACTGACTTTAGAGGAAGTTTTCCCAAGAACTGGAGGAAAAAACATCTGCAGACCTTCAGCAATGACTCAAGGGGAGTAATTTGACTGACCCTATGTAGTTTAATAATTTGTGACTTGGAAAAAGAGTTTCAGAGGGGGGAATGCATTGAAGGTCTTGAGTTGCTTGTAATTTATTTTGCTAGCTAGAATTTGAGTTCAATCTGCTATAACAAACAATGAAATCTTCTATGAACTTTTTCTGATGCTGATGCAAACAGTGAGAAATCCAGACATTTCACCAGTGAGGAGACTAAAAGTGCACAGATACCTTGAACATTGAAGACCCAGCTGAAGAGAGCATTAAAGCGTGGCCAAGGGCGGGCAAAGCTGGAGGTAAGATGCCAACAAACTACGTGGGTGGTGAGTTTAAGGGACAGTCTGGGCCTACATATGGAAATATCTAGAAACTGGCTACTGGGCTGCAGAGCTCCCAGAGGACGCATCGCCTCCACACCTGCTTTGTGCTCAGGAGTAAAGCCTGCACAGGCCATGTGTAAATCTGTGTTTCTAGAAACCGTCACCTTCTCCCTGCAGAATACAGCCACCTCCCAAAGGGAGCATGGCAACTCTTAGAATGCTTATGGCAACATGCCAGGGCAGGCTAAGACAGAAAGTAAAGGAAAATTATCTAGGATGGAATATCTGGTCCTGTAGCAACTCATTCAGACGAACTCCAGCAAAACATCTCCCTCCTCCTGCCCCGCAGGCAGAACTTTCGCCTACCAAATTCACATCCCCCTCTCACCATGAATCTTTCCATCGCCAGGCCAAAACCACACCTTGTGCAAACGGAGCTCAGAGAGCCTAATCCTAAAAACTAACTTTATAAATCTCTTCTTAGTGGATGAAGAAAGGAGGAATTAATTACCTGACTAACAAAAAAAAAGTGAGGAGCAATAAGGTGACCTTAAAAAGCTGGAAGTTTTAGCCCTAAGCACCTTTCAAGTTTCTGCTGTCACTCTCAGACTGCCTTGCTGCCGTGTCCTGTAAGACTTTGGGATTGTTAATAATATTCATCAATTTACAGATCTCCCAGATCAGGCAGATTAGACTAATAGGTAGATTGAGTTATTTGGAAGAAAATAAAAAAGATCTTTGGGTGGTAGACACCATATAAACATCAGTCACTGTTATTTACTACTTGTGAAGCACAGCAGGGTACACAGAATAGGGCAAGAGGGGGCCCGTCACCAGGCTGCAAATGCACAGAGATGCCAAGCTATAAATATGCTGATATATTTTTACATTTGTTGTGGCAAAGTCAGGATGGTCGTTGTGATGCTGGGACGTTGCTGGGGCTGTTTTCTAATTATAATTAGATTCTGTTACTTTTCCAGTGTCATTATCAGAGACATAGTCATGTGTGCTTGCTTTTAAATGCTACTGGCCCTACTAATTATTCTGGGCACAAGGGGACTCCACAGGCAGAGGGGAAATAATTCCAGTTGCAGGAGCGCCTCCTTCTGCTGTCAGATGGTGGGTACCATTGTCTGTCTGATACCATCATGGCCCACAGCAGGGACATGCTGAAAGATGCCGTGACTGGTTTTCTGATGACAATCGCAGTGTGGACCCCTGCAGGAGCACACCTTAGGGGGTGCTGGCCATCTCTCCACAGGTGCTCTTGCCTTGCCCTTGCTGCCTGCCCTTACATGCTGGTGCCCTCATGTCTGTAGGCTTTTTTGCACCTGTGGATTCAGAGGCAGGATTTGAAAGCAAATGTACTGGAACATTTTCAGAATCTAAAAATAAATGACACCTGTCATTATAAAATGACTTGCTGAAGCAGCCACGCTTGAGCGTCCATGCCTTATCAGAGCACCTGATGCTGAAAGGGCTTTTCGTTGCTGTTGCCTGCGGTACCCTTGCTCTGCATTCCGTGAGTGCCACGACGGGAACCTTCCCAAACAAACTGCAAGGAGCTGTGCCCAGGAAAACAAGGACCCTGGGATTTGTAGGCAAAGCTGATGTGTAGAAAGATTCCAGCTGAAAGCACTAGAGGACTTACAGGAGCAGTTCCTCACCTACAAATCCACAGAAAAGTGGAATTAAATGATTGATCTTGACAGCTAGGGAGAACTTCGCTGTCTCTTTAATCTTCCTTGTAGGATAACACAACTGAGGCAATGGAAGAAAACAGCCATCACACTAATACAACACTTGAGGACTTTTTTTTTTTTTTTAAAATTGTATGCTACCAAGGACATTTCTGACATTAAGCAAATAGTAGGAGGAAAATACAAATACAAATGTATGAATACTCCCAGAGGCCTTGGCCATATAGCCCATGCACTCCTCTGCCTGATCAAGTTTGATTGATGCTCAGGTACCTCAGCGTCCACTTCATCTCCTTGATACCAAGCCAGGAGATTCCAGATGCTACGTCTGTGCCATCCCAGGGATTCCTCCCGTGCTCTGCAAGGACCTCTGCAACTGAAGTGTACAGACTCATGGTCCATCAGACCCTGCAAACTTCACTGTTTTCACAGAGATGTATCTTTAGGGCTGATGCATCCCTTTATGTTCGTGTCTGAATGAATTGTTGGAGCTTCAGAGAGAAAATGCCTTCAATATCATCTGTGGTATTGCTTTTATCAGCTGCAGGCTGTACTTTACATGGTCTCTCTGTGTGTCAGAGGAAGAAGTGACTGACCTGACTCTTGCATTCAAACTTCCATAATAAGTATTTATGGTTTTCCCTAGGCACACTGGCTTTATGTCCAGAAAACAAGGTTTTAGTGACCAGTGTGTCTTCCTTTGCTCAGCATCAAGCCCTGAGTTCTATTTTCATTTTTATCAATAGCTCTTTCCCTTCCTGATGACAATTCCTTTCAAACATTTGTAGATTGTTTTAAAGTCACCTTTTAATCATCTTGTAGAACTGGGCTGTGTATACTTAGCTCCATTAACCTTACTTTATTTAGCTGCTATACAGCAAGGCAAGATGCTCCCATCAAATAACCTTCACCTTCCCCTCTCTGTCTGAATGGTGACTACCCTCAATCCAAGGGACTGGGCACTTCTGCAGCCTGGGGTGCTCCACAGGTGGGTCTGGGTCAGGGTGATGGAAAAGAGCATTTCACCCCACTTTACAGTCTGGAAATGTAGGGCAGCAATCCAAAATAACGCTTTTTGCTTTTAAGAACACTATATTCATCCTCTAAATCAGGAAAGCTAATTGGTCTGGCTGCTCTGACAGTATTTTCTCTTGGGAAAAAAAGTTGCACTCCTTCAACATTCAGAGCTTTTTAATCCTGGTGCCAAATGCATTTCTCTGAATTAATATTGGTGGAATGAAAAGGCTTTCTTCTCTGCTTCAGCCTTCTCTCCCAGGATAAATCTTTTTGGAATTTGCTTTATATATTGTGCTTTTGAATGTTCTTTTAAATGTTAAAAAATGACTGTGTGAGAATGTCGCCTTCTCATTAGCAAAATTTACTACATATTTTCCTCCATTGTTACCAGTACAGTTCCAGCAGTGTTAACAATGGGAACCCTAGAGCAAATGGTCTGGCACCAGCACTTGTCATCTAACTACGGCTGGTCAAAAATGTGTTTGAAAAGTGGTTTTGTGTTTTTTAAATGTGCTTGTTTTAAGTAAGCATTTCCAAATGAATTTTTAAAATTAAAAAAAATCCAATTTTTATTATGTTTTAATCAGGAAGATATTGGGGGTTTTGGTCTTTTTTGGAAAACCTATGGTGGTGAGTAAAATAAAGTAAGTTCTCCACTCCCCTGCCTTGTTCTTTACTTGGGGGGAGGATGATAACAAAAGAAGACTGGGAGGGTATGATTTTCTTCATCAGAATGATATTTATCAGATCTTTTGTAATTCAAAATTTCTAACAAAATAGAAAAAAAAAATCATAAACCTTCTGTTGTCTTTAAAATAATTATTCTGGTGTATGTTTCTTCTCTTTGTATCTCAGATCAAGTGTCAGTATAATATATCCCATCATGTCAACAGTGTGCAAGTAGCTTTTCAAGTTTCCACGAAGCTTTCAGCACTGCAGGTAAAGAGATCTCAGCTAGATTCAGCAAAGGTAGGAAAAGTTTAAATAGTGTTTCTAGCTCTGGCAGAAGAAACGTAGCAGCAAAGCTCTCTGGTGAAAGCTCTGTGGGAAGTCAGAATGGTCTCCTCTGATATTAAAACTTAGTAATCTACAAAAGCTGCTTCCATTCACTGGAAACTACTGCTACTTTCTTCCCTTTTGCAATTACTTAGATCTCCTTTGTTACCACAAATCTTTGCTGTAACTAAAACACAGCAAAAGCACACGCTCTGAAATCCTTCAGCTGTGCCTTCCTATAGCCATGGAAACAGTTTTGCACACCCAGGGCAAGGCGGATTTGTTGGGGTGTTTTTTTCTTGCAATCTGTCACAAAGTCTACTCGCTTCTTGTGAGTATACATATCAAGATCCTGGACAGAGGTATTTTTTTATTTCAACTCAAACCAAAGGCAACACTTGGGCATGACCTGAACTTGACCAGCCTCCCCGTGTGAACTGCCTTTTATACTGTTCGCATAATGAATTTAAGCCATCAGCTGTTAATACTTCAGCAAACCCACTGCTTCCTTCCTGGTGTTAGACAAGGATTCAGAGGACCCAGTTAATACTCCCAGCTCTATCCAATTTAAGAAGAGGATTTGGAGCTCAATTAGGTCGCTTATTGGCTGCTGCTGAACCTGAGCTGGGACTAAACTGTGTCAGAACCTTCCATTGGGTCAGACCAAAATAACCAAAGATATGTCAGCACACCTGAACAAAACCCTCGCTCTGCTTCCCATTTAACGCTCTACGCTCCCAGTGGTCCTGTGGAAATGCCTGCATTTGTGTAAGAACTTCCTCACTGATGATGCAGCCTCTTTTATTTGATGCTGGCATAAAGTGATATTATTAATAGTTTGTGATCTACTGTGCCTTTCATCTGAGGACCTCTCACAAAGCATTTTAGGAGGCTGAATCAATTTTCAAAACACTCCTGTGTAATACTATCCCTATTTTACTGGAAGGAAAACTAAGGCAGTGGGAGGTAATTTTCCCAAGGGTTCATTGGTAGTCAGAAATAGAGCCCTGGACTTGCGCTCCAAATATAGCCTACATTCTCACCCCATGGCTGAAAACTGAATGCAGGAGTCCCCCCTTTCAGCACTAAACATACCTTCTGCCTGGTGGTTTATGCTTCCGAAACGGCTGCCTGTTGCCATGGGAACTGCAGTTCAGATTGCTGGACCAGATTTGCTTCAGTTACATCAATGCAAATCATTAACAAATTCATTTAAATTAATGGAGTTACTTCAGATTTTCATGGGGGAGGGAGGATGCAGAGAAGAATTAGTCCCTTTGGATTTGATATAAGAAGGTGGCGATCTCTTTAGAGTGGGAAAAAATTCTTTGATCATTAGAGGGGGAAAAAGGATGAAGGATACCTTACAACAAAAGTATAGAAAGTAAGTCTGAGAACTTGACTTTACCTAGGTCAACATGACATTCTCAGACCTACTTCTGACCAGTAGAAACTCTTAGAGGTCCCAAACAAGTGTACTGCTTCCTCCTTGCACTGAGCAAAGACCAGATTCATGCTTTTACTGCAAGAATAAGGGATGGTGAAGAATGCAGTTATAGAATCTACAAACTGAAAGTGGAAAGGATCAGTTTGTGCTGCTATTTGCAGGTTGGATCTCACAGGGGATGTCTCACAGGGGTCTGGGACCACATAGCAAGGCCCCAGGTTGCCTCCCTGTGGCCTCTTCCTGCAGCAGAAGGTAATGCCTGATGGAACAGGATCCTAAATAGATGATTTCTACCAGTGTCTGCCACAATACCACCAGGGCCTGAACTGCTGCTGACCAGGGAAATGAAAGAAAGTAGGGGGCAAGAGGTGAAACAGAGAGACCCTTTCTAGCAACAGTAACCATTGCCTGGTAGCTTTCTCCTTACCTTGCAGCAGCTCAGCTCTCTAGGCCAGAAAGCAAAAATTGGGCTGGCATATCTTCTGTATTCCCTTCCCCAGACATTCACCACTTTGTGTGCAGTGAGAGATGGAGGCTGGCACTGGGGGAGGAAGAGTATGGTATACTACAGGGAGGGGGCATCTCAAAGGCTTGGAGGTTGGTCACCCTGCACTTGTGCTAATGCACGAAGTCTAATTTGGGATGAACTTCTCCTATGATACTGCAAAACAAACCATCCTGTGTCCAAAGCTGAGTAAGCAGCTACTGTTTCATACAGTTCACAAAGACACTGGAAATATCCTCCGATAAAGCTCAGTCTTTCACACTGGCAGGGGATATGCTGTTAATCTTGCGGGACCTCAAAGACTTTAATCCACAGTTATTTAACTTCATGAATTAATATTCTAATTTCCCAAGCCGCCAGCCATGCAGATTAGATTGTTGCTGACAAAGGGAAACTCTTTGGATCAGGTAGATTCAGTGCTCAAAGAAGGTGTTACCACTGTGGCAAAACTGATGCAGGTTTTCTAAGTGGAGGCTCCTGAACATCCAAGCAAGAGATGGGAAGCCTATGAGCAGCAAGGTTTGGCACCATCTGCTGTTCCTTATGGCAAAAAATCCTGCAGAGCTTTCAGATCTGTTGGGACTTTTACACTGCAAAAGCTGTTCTTCTGATCTGGGGGCAAGGGGCACCTGGCAGTGACATTGGACAGTGGTAGGACTCAGCACCCAATTTGGAGGAACGCAGCCCTTGTTCCAGGGGGACATTGCAACGTCAACTCTTGCATATGTCGAAGATGCAGCAAGAATTGACTTTGAAAAACAGAGCTGATCAGACTGAACACTGTGGCCTAATAGCATGGTGACCCTGCTAAAACCGCCCAAAGCTGGATCTGGGTCATGCACTGTCAGTCAGGCCAAATTCTGAATATATGTTTCAAAAGCCTCAGTATTTCTTGCGAAACAATGATTATTTTTTTGCCCACCTCAAAACAAAAGGTCAATGCTCTGATTCAGTATCTCATCACATGCTAAAATTTGGATTTGTCCCATCATTTTATCACAAGCCTGACCTGAGGTTCAAGCTTTTAAAGAAATCCCTTCCTACATGTGAACATGAGGTTCAGGCTGAGGGTCCAAGGTAAGCACTTTCCACACCTGCTGCTGGAACTGCTACCAAGCAAAAAAATGACCGGAGATAATACAGAAATTAAGTTTCTACGTTGCAAATGTTTCCAGTTTCTTAGGTCTAGTTCTTGGGAAGATATGAATCCCAATTATTTTTTTTTCTTTAAAAGCAATTTTCCAGTTCAAAAGATTGGTAAAACAACTTGAAAGAGCAACTTAAAATTGAGCTGTCATAAGACTAATAACAAATTGTGCTCTTAAAAACAAATTAGTGATTTTTATGCCCACTTCATTACATTTGTGAAGACCCAACACATGTGATTTAAATACTTCAGGTTAGTAATACTAGAGATGCCATTACTATGAGACAGCAATATCTATTCATGTAGGATAAGGGCAACAAGCCAACTTCTCCCCTTAATTTAGACCACATTAGTCTCCCACACAATCCCCTTGAAGATTTATACTCAGAGAATGGAGACTCTCCACTGACTCAGGAAATCTTGCCGCTCTACATGATTACCATAATTTGAAGGGGTAAAATGTTTACAAGGAAAGGCAAAAATTCTCAAGATTTGAGTTTGCTGCTCTTTGTTAGAAGTTCAGAAATTAGGCAGTCATATTAATACCGGAACCATACTTTGTAAATAGCTGCTTGGAAAAGGACATTGCTCCAGTAAAAGAAGTATTATTTCTAGGTCTGATGGAAACATCAAAGAATGAGTATTTCCACTTCCAGGTGATCCAAATACCCATTTTCTCAGAGATCTTGGAAAAGGAATATTTAAGGATGATAGTAACAGAAGTTTCCGGAATGAGCTTTTGCTCCACACAGTGTTTTTTACAGACATAACTCTGCTGTACGCTATAGGCAGTGGCTCTAGACATTGCAAATTTCCTGTGTCTAAGAATGGCCATGAAAATCCTTAGGATCTCTGTTTCATTAACACTTTTTGGAAACAGAAGTATATCATAGCACACGGCAGAGAGTGAACAGTTAACATCCAAACTACAGAGTTTTATAAATTGTCCTCCCAGGCATCTTTAACCACGAACCTACACCAGAACACCTTACTGGGCATCATCCCCCATCCCTTATGGCTGGCTGTGGGAGCTGGAAACCAATGCAGTCATACCAATTCATTGGACTGAGGTTATAACAGGAGCTTTGCAAAGTCAGAAAATACCAGAAGACAGAGCTATGATCCCTCTGTGAAAAGGCTTTATACCAGTGACTTCACCAATACGGCTTGCTTTTGCTGACTTTGTCCTTTTTTTTTTTCAGTAACTGTTCACTGCCATTTTTCAGCGTATGTAACTCTCTTCCCAGGGGCAGAGATCAGTTACAGTAATATTCTGAGCTCAAAAGGATGGAAGCTGAAAACTCTATGTCAGCTAAATATAGATACAGTTGGGTTTGCATAAATGAACTTTACCTGTAAAAGTCAAAAGTGCACAGCACATTGTGATAGCTAAGTCCCTGATTACCTCTCCTCAGTAACGAAACAGATTGACAAAGCAAAAACATCCACAGACAAACCAGGTCCTAATTATATGATTGTGCCAAAACTAAGAGCTATATAAAGGGAGTAGCAGTACATTATCTCAGCTGCTGCATGAAAATCGGAAAAAAAAAGTTTGGCTATGATGTTCTCTAGCATGGTTTTCACTTGTTAGAGTTGGTAATTTCCCTG